TGTCACTGATGCCTTAATGATCAGTTAAACTTTTTATTATTTTACATGAAAATAAACACAAGAAGTGGAAAGGAGAAATAGAAAAAAAAATACAAAAGTGTGAATCTCCCATGTCTTAAAAAAAAACAAGTCTCACATATGTATTAATGTTCCATTGTACAATTAAATTAAAAATTAAATCAGTTTATTTCATAACAGGATCTAAACAGGGTTTAAATTACATATATGAATTAGCAAATGCAATCCAAGTTTTAAAAAGTTTGAGATTTCCATTGATAACATAAAAACAGACTTGGAAGGGACCTTGGAGGTCTTCTAGTACAGGGGTCTTCAACCCCCGGTCCGTGGACCGGTACCAGGCCGTGGCATGCCAGCACCCGGTCCGCACAAACAAGCAAAGCCCAATCTGTGGGATGCAGGCAGCACACAGAACCATGCCCCCTCTGGTCCATGGAAAAACCTCTCTCCACGGAACCGGTCCCTGGTGTCCAAAAGGTTGGGGACCTCTGTTCTAGTACAACTCCCTGCTCAAGCAGGAAACTCTATACCATTTCAACAAATGATTCAGTCTGATCTCTTCTTAAAAACCTCCAATGTTAGAGCACTCACAACTTCTGGAGGCAAGGCATTCCACTGATTAATTAAAAAGTGTAAAAAGAGGTGAGTTCTTCAGATAGCCACTAGTATGGCTAATAGGGAATATCTACCCCTTAACCATATAATAACTTGTTTACAATCAAAGGAAACAATATCTGCTGGAACTCCACATAAGTGTCAGGAAGGGCATCCGGCCAGTAAATGCTCAGCTCCATCCAGCTACCCTGACTCTACCCCAAATAGGAACTACAGGGTCGCAAAAAGTGTGCAATGTTCATTACCATTTTCCTTTTACAAGCCTCCAAACTGAAACAATAGTTTTGATTAACTGTAAGTTTGATACCTGTTCATCTTGTGATAAAGAAACTGAACATATAATCTTTTGATTTAAGGTTCTATCATTCAAAAAGACACATCTAAATTTATAAATTTCACCTGGTTTAATAATCATTCCTCCTTTTTAGAGTTTTGACATGTCACTGGAATTGTGTGCCTGTGTGTGCCAGGTATATGCAAAAGAGAGACAGAGTAACTGGCAAACTATAATTACCAAGGTTTGAGGCACTGCAATTAAACTAGTATAAAATCTATACAGGTTTATAGAACTATAAATTCTTTCTATCCTGAAACTGCCACTAAACTTAGATTCAAATATTATTAAAGGAAGCTGAGGTAAGAACAAAGTTGGAGAAATCCCACCTCACCTTCCACGTATTCTTTTAAAGTAAAAGTTTGGAATGGAACATGGCAACAGAACTATAGGATTTCCAGAAGAGTTTAGCTGAAGAGTAACCAGAAAGTACGATTATAGCTGTCATGGAACTTTTAGTGATCTTTAAATGAATCTCAACCTATTTATAGATCTATCTATAGAAAATGAAAATTTTCAGAGCAGAATAGGAAGGCCCAAAGGTTTACAGCACAATCAATCCTCTAGGATCTCCTCAAAATAAGGTATACTGATTTTAGTGTAGTTGGCATGAATATTCAGTCTCAGTCATTTAAATCTTAACTTACCGTTAAGTATTTACACAGACACATTTAGAAATTCTTCTCCATCTGTCAGCCTTTTGGGGTAAACAATTCTTCTCAAACTTTAGTTATAATTGTCCTTGACCAATGTAAAGAAATTTCTACAAACACACATTATGATTCATCAGGAGGAGATGAGGGAATATCAAATAGTTTCATTGTTAACTAGGCACCAAGAGTAGAATTATATCAATTTGTGGTAATGTTACACTGTTTAGACACCATTTTAGTCTGGGCAGCCACATACCTTGATTTTCGTTCTGAATCACAGTGGTCTACAGTTCAAATAAAATGCCCCAAAGATTTAGCATCATATTCCCCATCTTAAGCTACATGTCAAATTAAAATCTTGGAGGGAGTTATTCAGTTATTTGGCAGATTCAGCGCATGCAGTTAACACTATCTAAGTATAAATATGAAAAATGTATAGTGTGGTCACTATCTTATGTAATGGTATATCCGCATCCCTGAAAAGTGTTAAATGCATTTGGCTATTTCCTTTTATCTATTTGTTAATGGTATAGTAACATTAATCTTTTTTCAGGTACATTTCTCATTTATAATTTTTCAATGTATGTTAGAGAAATAGACCTGCTTTTCAATGCAGCTGCAGGTTTCTCTTTGTGATTTCAAGGAATTGCCTAATACATTCTTTTGATTTAGCTTTGGTCACCAATCAACCAAACACAGATGGAAGGGACAATCAGTCATCATGAACAGATATCTCTACACATTTCGATTGGAAGCTGTGTAAAATAAGTATTTCCAGAGTTTCTTAAATGCTGCATAGTCTATTTGGATGGTATTCCATTAGATGCACTCTCCTTCTGCAATGAAAATAATGTACTGGTACTTTTGAAGAGCAGGCCAAACTTTCTTGCTTCAAGTCGATTATAAAGACACATCAATAAGGATGGTTTTGGCAGATCAGCAAATGTGGAAAATAATCTTATGGTGTGAGAATTAGGATATGAGATCAGAGGGATGTTGGGAAGATTCGTGTCCTTTTCAGTTTATTATTTAATTCAATATTGTAATAATAATTAAAAAAACTCCTCTCAGTGGACTTTGTTTGATAGGTGTGTTTGGGATGAAGATTATATAAAACTCAAAGGAATAAGTAGACTTCTGTGCTAGGGTTGAGAGCAGAAGTGAAAGACTTGGAGGGTCTGTCCTTAAATATTGCAATTATAGTTTCAAAGATTGATATTATGCTTCATTACATCTATTGGCTATCTGGTTACTGGCCAAACATCCTCTCCTTTAGACTTATCAGTTGCTATGAATTCTGCAAAATGGTCTGTGACTGTTTTCATTCACTGTGACAGATATGTGCTGCATGTTAGGTGTATATGACCAGCCAATTCAGACTTGCAAGGTTGGCAAATTCTGGGTTCCTTCAATTAAACAATGCAATCTTATCAGGATCCCAAAAGTGGCACCCTCTGTAACAATGACTATCCCTTGGAATGAGGTTCTCTGAGATCTAGAGGGCTCCAGCTCTGCTGTTACTCAGAAGGACCATGAAAACCTGGCTCTTCATCCAGGCCTTTGGTAAGGATCCCTTGTATCTTTCATTCTTGCCAGTTTTAGTCTTTTTTTTCTTCCTTTTAAATGTAATATTGTATAATCTTTTATTGTTGAGAGCAACCCAATTTTGGGGGAGGGGGGTTGGGTGGCACAGAAGCTTAATAATAAATAGGTGATACTGTCTACAAATTCCAAAATTGGAAATTCCATAATTGGCTCAAACTCCAACCTTTTTCTGCAAAATGAATGAATGAATGAATGAATGAATGAATGAATGAATGAATGAATGAATGAATAAAGCAACCTTTTGTGGAAAGAAAAATCTAGTGGAACAAGTGATCACCATTTTACACCATTATTACAGAAGAACTAGCATGAACAAATCAAAATCAAAATATATTTTGTTTTTAAAAAGTCTACTGCAAATCAAACTTTAGATGCTGTGCACCTGTAGACGCTAGGTCTTTAACCAACCTTGTTAAATACATTATGTAAACACAGCTGGTGTCTAACATAGAACTGGGAAAAGCACAAGTTGAACATGTCCTGCCTGAGAATCCTTTTATTATATGGACAATTTTAAAATACAGTCAGTTTTTAGTGATCCATGATCTTTGTGGGTTATATAGGTTATTTTTAAATATTGTTTTTAATTCTTTAAAAGCATAAGTATGTGTAAAAATCTGATATTTCTTTTTAAAACTTTTGGAATTCTAAAAAACAATTTGTCAGTCATAACTATCAAGAGATGTATCTGGGAAGAAGCTTACCTAGATGTGATGTGTGAAAAAAAGAGCATGGAGAATGGTATAAAAATCTGTTGGGACAATAGAAAACCTGCTCTACAGTAGAGAATCTTTATGTAAGCAAGGTACTAATGCTGTCATGGAGATAGTGGTTATGGTTTTGGCCAGGATGCTGCTCTTAATGTTTTTAAGGGAGTGGATTGCAGTAGGCAGGACCATAAGCATCAAAGGTACTTGAATAAGATAAGAATTTAAGTGCATTTTAGACTTGAGCTACAGCTTCCATGTGGTTTCCATTTCAAAATAGTAGAAATTGAAATTTATCAAAGTAGTTGGAAATGACTCTTGCAGCTATTAGGGAAAAAACAAGTCTTCAAGAGCCAGTTATACAGCTAGTGCATAAGTTGCCCATCTCTAATTTTAATGCATTTGCAAATCTAGTCAACAGGTTTTATCAAATTATGGTTAATCAGACTATGGCTTCATATAATATCTCTCATATCCTAGCAGAGATAAGGCAAACCACATCAGAATAATCCTACTATATCAGTAGTTTATTCATGTATTTTGACATGACAAAAATCATGTTGTAGAACAGGCAAGATTATCAGAAAACTTCCAGTGACAGAGCTGGAACTGAATAGCCACACTCAAACCAAAGCTGAGAAAAATAATTCCTATCATACATGTCTTAATTAATTATGGTTATTTATTGGATAGTAGAACATAGTGCTTTATAATGGCTAGAAGAAGAAGTGTTTAAAATATACAGCATTGTCTCCTTTTGTCTGGAATAGTGTAAGATAAAGATAAGCATTTCAATAGTTTGCTATAGCTGCTTTTTGTTTTTAAAACTTTGATCTAAATTGTGTGGCATATATATGCAATGGAATCCATATTCATTGTAGAGAATTGAAGAGCAGTACATACTACAGCTATCCTCCCATAAAGAATGCCTCCTGGAAAAAATGCACTGCTCCTCTAAAGGTCCCACTACAGTGAAAATATGAGGATTGATTAGGCCAAGTCATCAACTACAACTGTATTTCTTGATACCATTATTACCATAGGAACAGAATATAAAAACACATATTCTCCTGTGTTGAAATGGAATGTAATTAGTATAAAAAAGTGCCCCAAACCTGGACAGCATTTAAAACAAGTTATGTCTTAAACAACAAGGTGGCTAATTTTAATAACCACAAAAGTTGGTCAGTATTTAACATGACATTCTAAAAAAAGGTCACAATTTTATAACAAATTTACAAATGAATGATATACATTTAGATATAGAGGTAGAAGTTCACCTTTACAATATTCTACTAATACAGTTTACCAAATTCAAGGCACAGAATTGTTCTTACAAAAAAGGTAAAAATGTTTTCTGCTCTATAATGCAATTAACAAAAACATTTTACAGACTTTCTAATATTCAAGTTGTATCTAATAATATTACATTTTATTTATGTAACTCTTTAATGTGACAATTGGCAGGAGGACCAAGATTTATTTTTTTCTTAACTCAATTTGCTTTTGAATTTTAAGTGAAAACATGGGTAATTGGACAGTAATCAATGATAGGTAAATGGATTTCACTATGTAGTCTAGAAAGACTAATTGTATATTCCTTTGCCCATCCAATTCCATCAAAGTTGGCTTTTATAGTGGCTGATTTTAAATGCAAGCCATATATTCTTATCTAATAACAGAAATGAATGGTATGGATTATGACTTCGATTCTGGAAGCAATTCAAACTTCCCATTATTGAAGACATATTTAGGTTCAAAATATGCAACAATGAAAAACAAAAAGTAATTCAAATGTATTATCCCACACAGACTGAGTGAGCTTTTGAACCACTGCCCTGCTACATTACATATTGTAAATGACAATCATGAAAACATCACAAGAAAATGAACAATTGATGAAACAATTGAATCGTCTAATTGCATGACCATCTGAAGAGAAATCATACAAAGTTTCTCTCTATAAAAAGAGTAGCATATTACTGTACATCTAACAAAGTTTCAAAAGAATAAGGGTGATCACTACTTTTTATAAATTTGCCTGTCACGGTTCTCAGGTATTCTGATTATTCTACATACAATATGTAAAAAAAAACAAAAACGTTTTTCCTGTTCACTATCCAGGTATAGGATCCAAGAGAATGTCATCATAAAATGTTAACAGTTGCTCCTGCTAAATGCAAGTGCCCTCCAGAATACAGTTCTAGCATTTGATAATAATTCTGTTACAAATAACAGTCCTTTATAAAATGTTATATTTCATTCTTTGCTTCATTGTTATTTGTGGCCTGTTTTCGTTGAGCAATGAAAGGATACATACACTTGTCTGCTCCCAAAAACCGGTACATGCACACAACTGCTTCAAAAGGTAGGATGCTAAAAAAAGGAAAAAGATGAACAGGATTGTAAATATAGCAATAAAGATGGTTATTATTTGCTTTTCAAAATTGCAATAGTAAATGTAAGAAAATTAAAATACTATCTAGAGCAGATTCCCTCAGATATGATAGGCTAAGGATAGAAGTTTTTTAAGTTGCTATAGTTATTGCTTCTATTCTACAAAATCAACAAATCAGAAACAAAGTATAAATAATTCCTAAAGCTAAATTAATAACATATCCATTATTATTGTGTCAAAAGTAATATGAGTCAAAAGCTTTACTGGTGCAAATTCTAACATTGTTCCAAAGAGCTACAGGCTCTGGATGTTAATAAAACTATTCTGTACAAGACTATAATGTGTTTTATGGACAATTGAAGGGCTTCCTCTGAAGCACAAACCCCACCCTATTTTTCACTAAAGAATGCTTCCCAGGGTGGCTTAGTCTTGGCTGCACACACTTTTGACTATTTTAACTAATGACCTATTGACAATGCCTCTGTAGAATAATACAGTAATTTTATCAGCGATGACAATTCATCAAACTGTTACCTATTTTAAAACCAATATGTATTTCCTTTCTTAAGTCTTACTCATTTTTAGCTAAAAAAAATTAATAATACTCAGAGATCAAGGCCAAAAGACCAGAAGGACCATTTGACTGGATTCCATATTCAAAAGGGGCCTCACGCTGAAATATTTGTTAGCATTTTTTTTATTTCAAAATATTTGCGCTATGCCTCATTCTTTCTTTCCTTGGTACTTTGCTTTTGTTTTCATGTGTTACTGTTTCTATTTTCATTGTATCTAGAGACTTTAACAATTGGAAATGGTATGAGCCCTTGAGGAATTTTATAAGACTTTATACAGATTTGAGAAGTTTCTTGCAAAAGAAGGTGGTTTTCCAAGAAATAAATAACCCATAAAACCAAAACAGGGAAAATATCATAGAATGTAACAGTCCAGATGCCTTTGATTAAGGAGATACACTGTTTTTTAATTTCACTTTTATGATTCCTCCCAAAGACATTTGGGAGCGGACCAATATTGTTATGGGTAAATCTCAACTTACAACCAGTTATTTGATGACTATTCAAAGTTACCACAGCTCAGAAAGGGTGCTTTAAGGTTTATAAACACACTTCCGGCTATTTGTCCCCCACATGGTTACACCGATCTGAGTATCTGGCAATCTATTCACTTTTATGACTGATAACAAAGTTTAGATCTTTGAGATCTGAGCCCAGCCCTGTTCATCTCACAGGATTGTTGTTGTGGGGTAAACAGGAAGAGGAAGATGTGTTGGACATATTCACCATCTTAAGTTATTTGTAAAAATAATAAAGGTAACAGAATAACAGAGTTGGAAGGGACCTTGGAAGTCTTCTAGTCCAACTCCCTGCTTAGGCACGAAACCCTATACCATTTCAGACAAATGGTTGTCTCTTAAAAACTTCCAGTGTTGGAGCATTCACAACTTCTGGAGGCAAATTGTTCCACTGATTAATTGTTCTAACAGTCAGAAAATTTCTCCTTACTTCTAGGTTGCTTCTCTCTTTGGTTAGTTTCCATCCGTTGCTTCTTGTCCTGCCTTCAGGTGCTTTGGACAAAAGCTTGACTCCCTCTTCTTTGTGGCAACCCCTGAGATATTGGCACACTGCTATCATGTCACCCCTAATCCTTCTTTTCATTAAACTAGGCATACCCAATTCCAGCAACCATTCTTTATATGTTTTAGCCTCCAGGTGAGGTACAAATAATTAAATAAATGAAATTAATGCTATTAACTTTTCAGGGCTCATCAGATTGGAAATGGTTTAGTTAGACATTATCATTGATTTCTATGGAACTTAAAAGTATAATTGTGCAGAATTCATGCCGCTTAAGCCAGTAAGGCCAGAATATGTGTCCTTGTTATTCTCCAAACTCAAAAATTTTGGATACTTTCCTTTTTGATACACTATCTATGAAGTCTATTTTGTGTTTCTGTTCCTTCAAAAGAAATACAATTGCCCTAGTGATGTCCCCATATTGATGGACTATTGTAGTAGTCCAGTGATAGAAACTTGCTTTTCCCCTGAAAGCATCTGCAGGCAATGTCTGCTACTACCCAAAAAATCTCAAGTAATAGATGTGAAGGACTTCTGCTTCATACATTTTGCTAATGAAGAGGAAACAGTACTAGCACAGACAGAAAGAATGAAGAGAGAGATCCCTGGTGTTCTCTGAGTTTGGTTGTTTTCTTGTAGACATTTCATTACCCAAACTAGGTAATATCATCAGTGCTAGTCTAGCACTGATGATGTTACATAGTTTAGGTAATGAAACATCTGTAAGAAAACAGCCAAGCTCAGAGAGCACCAAGGAACTCTCATATTCTCTTTTATAGAATGAACACTGCTTTATGCCATGTTGGAGAACTGGTTGTATCAATCCCATAAATTATGAATAATTATAATTCCTGGGCCACTCTGTGCTATCACATTTTCTTTGACAAGCAATACTACCTGAGTTAATTAGAAGAAGTGGACATCTATCCCAAAGTCTGACTGCCCATTTATTTCTGAAAGATGTACATTTTACTGAGTAGATCTAAATAATGACCTTTTCATGAAGGTAACCATATACATCAAACGAGGTGTGCAAATCATAGGTTGGTCTGTCAGTATAGCTCTCATAGCTTGCTTTACACAGTAATCTGGTTTCAAAGGTGGAAGGAATGGCTCTATTTCTTTTCTGAAAAATAAAAATAACAAACAACATTTCAAAAATATATCAGATAAAAATTACATGAAAACGAAAGACAATGTCAAGCACGTTTGTTTTATTAATTCAATAGGATGAGATTGAGGTCCTTGCTTAATACAAATCATCCTTCCCCACAATGTATGCACCTTCAGAAACTAGGACAAATAATATAAATAGTATAAAATTTAAGAGTACTATACATTGTAGTTGGAAACTCAGTAGCATAATACAAATACCAATAATGAAGTCAAATTAAATTACCTAGACAAAAATTATAAAACTAGACTCTTACTAGAATTTTAATTGTAAGAGCTGTAATCAGGGCCACAAATCATGATTACAAACTTCAGACTTAACTTTGAGTTAAAACAATGAATGTTCTTTAATCTAAAACATTTAATATATACTACATTAAATAGTATTTAATGTAAGAGGCATTTATGCTGCACTAAAAAATAGTATCTTGCAATCACAGTAGAAACATAGGTCTTAAACTAGCTATGGGAGTCTAATGAACTATTTTAAACATTATCACATTAGAATCCAATCCAATATATTTTCAAATATAATAGACCATGTTTCCCCATAACATAGGAAATATGTTTTTATTATGATTTTGTTCACAAAGGATTTTTTTTAATTCAACAAAGCAGACTGATGCTGTGTGTAATGTATTTGATATATATATCTTGCCTGCTTACCTAATTCTGCAGCCTCTGAACATTCCTGTATCTACAAGGTAAGGACAAACCAGTGTTGTTTTAATACCATCTTTTTCAGCTGCCTTTAGTTCATGGCTCAGGGACTCATGAAACCCCACAGCTCCAAATTTACTGGCACAATAATCCTAAATTGGTGATATAAAAAACAAACATGGAACAAATTACACAATTTTTTAAAAAAAGACTTAAACCGATCATCCTTTATTAAATAAAAATGTCTTTTTGAAAAATTAAACTTAAATAACACTCTTTGATGTTGCTTTTTGAAGAAATAAAAAGCCCTCTGTCTTTCAAGCAGCATTAAAAAAAAACCATGTCTCAATTCAGCCATTGTTTTCTTTTAAAGAAAGAAGAGCTACCTCAAGCAATTTAGAGAAAAAGCCACTAAATAGCATCTTTTTTCTTAGGTTTGCTCAATGGTTTTGACTCCAGAAACTGGAATGTTTGGACTTTTGCACATTAGTAGCTAAGTCTGAGCAGTATCAGGGCAAATCAGAATCTTAATCCATAGTAAAGTTTAGTTTAAAACAGGAAGCATTTGATAAAAGGGTACTGAGAAAGAAAGAAAGAAAGAAAGAAAGAAAGAAAGAAAGAAAGAAAGAAAGAAAGAAAGAAAGAAAGAAAGAAAGAAGGTGCAGGGGAAGGAAGGACACTACGACAAAGGTCAGACATATCTCAGATTAATGCACTAAAATTTATTAATTTATCCCTTTTTATGGGCCTAACTAAAATTATTGCTGCTCATCCTTAATCCTATCTTTAGTAGTAAGAAGGAAAATACATAGCTGATATTGGAAACCTGCTTTTGTTATAATACAAGAAGAATTTACGAATATCCTGGGCAAATATAGAACTACAGAGTTGCACTTAGGCTACTAAGTCCAACCCCCATGCTCCTAGGAGGAATCTAGTTTGAAGCATCCCTGACAGAAGGCTGTCCCACAATGTTCCTCTCATTGTGACTCTAGCTGCTTTCACTGTTAAAGGAAGAAATAGTCTCCTCTTGATCAGAGGTTTTAAGCACCTTAAGCAACAAAGAGATGCCGAGAAAATATGCTGGTAACGCTAGAGACAATACATAGTGAATAGACTTGCCAACAAATCACGTTATCCCAGCATCTTCCTGCTATCACCTATCAATAGCCAGAAAAAAATGTAACCTTAATTATATTAGAAACAAACAATCAACAACAAAAAACAATTGAAAATAAAAAGCATCACTATTGAGGGAAGAAGGAAGGAAAAAAGGAAGGAAGGAGGAAGGAAATATGGCTCTATTTCTACCAGTTACCAATTCTAGTTCTACCAAGTTACCAATTCTGATTCACTTCAAATCTAAGCATGTCTTTGGCAATGTCTTTTGAACCAGGAATGCTCTATCCAACATCTAGATTCCTCAAATGACATACAGTATGGCTCAGTGACAGAGGTCCCAGGTTCATTTCTTAGCATCTCCCACCACTAAATAAAGCCTCTAGAGGTGTGCTGCCATTTAATAGGAACATTTTTCTCTTGCTTTAGTCAGTAAAAAGCTGCTTTATAGCATGCCCTAATAATACTGTGAGATACTAATTTTAATTCTCACATCATTGAGATTTCATCAATTAAGGACTATTTTTTTTCTACAATGATAGCTTTACAACAAACTTTTCTATAAAAGATCTGAAAACGCTAGTGGTAATCTCATTGCAATGTCTACTGCTTTTAGTTCACTGGTGATTTTGTTTTCCAAAGATACTAGATTAATTACTCCTGACTGATGGATTTCTTAAAAGTTGAATTGTTTTGTCCAAGTGCTGCACATATTACTTTGTACACCAAGCTTGATGATAAAAGCAAACTCTTTCAACATACAAGAAACATGTTTTAAGAAATTTGTACAAACCTCTACTCCAGCAGTACTAAAGAGGCCAAGAGAGCTTGCAACAGTGACAATGTGTCCGTGGTTCAGTTCCAGCATTTTGGGAAGGAATGCTTTAGTGGTCTGCAAAGAACACAAGAAATAATGTCTTAATCTTTAATGAGCTGGCCCAAAGGTACGACAGCCAAAACTGTCAAACTTAAGCAGTCCTCCAATCTGAAACCTGCTTATTTCATTTCAGGATCAAGATGGAAATTTAAGCAAAAAATAACTAAAAATAAAAGTTAATTTAGTAAAGTTGTTGAAGCAAAAAGTAAAAATGAATTTATGAAAGTGCATTATATAAAATTACATAGGATAGTACATGTAGTTCTAATTAATTGTCTACTTTAAATATGCAGTTGTTGTATTAAGTCACGCTTCTATAGGACTATAAGTAAAACCAAGCCTATATTTAAGGTACTATGTGTAACTATAATGTACAATAGTTGATTTGATTTGGCAGCTGGGGGAGGGGAATATATATCCAACTGTGGATTACTCAACAAATATTGAATAAACATGATAGGTAAACTGTCAGGGTCCTTGACAGAAAATGCACTTTAATCTCTTAAAGATAAACATGCATGTCATCAAATTATATAGATAAAAGCTAGCTTTGCTTAAAATGTTCTGATGCATATGTAAAAACAATTACTATAGTTCAGATAAAAATGCTATCATCATAGCGAGGTTGGTAATCAAAGGCCTGTAACATGCTGAGTTAACAGTGATGACAGCTTCCAGATCCTTGCTTTTTTTCTTAATAATTACTTTAAAATGAGGTTTACCATGGATCAGCCTTTCAGACAGAGGGCATGTTCAAAGGGAGGAACATTCTCTAAAATGGCCATAGCCCACTAAGATAACTTCAGAAGATCTCTTCTGCTAGCTATCAGTGACCATATCCATAAATACACATTACTGTATGAATGAAAAGCTATATTACAATGCAGAACTTTCCCCCCTAAGATTGTCTTATTGTTTGTATTTCAAAATTTATAATTATTGCAGTCCCTCGGAGCAACATTTAGCCAATTCCCTCTTACTAGTATACAAGGCCAGAACATCATCATCATCAACAATAACAACAAAAAACTCTCCACAAGATTTCTTTTAAAATCTTATCCCACAACACTGGGATATGCCTCTGTGGACTTTTATGAGCTTCCCCATGCAGAAATCTGTTTGAAATAGTAAAACATTTATAAGGTGCAGCTGCCATGTGCTTGCAGTAAGAGATAATGTGCTAGAATTGCATTTCTGCCAAATTGATTGTATCTGTAAGCCAAAATAAAGGCTCATTTTGGGACTGCTATATATCAATTCTACATACATGTGGATTCTTCTCCCTTGTCCTCCCTAACTTAAATCACCTGCCATATGAATTTGCTCTCTAAATAACTGTTGGCTTAAATAATTTTACTAACAGCTAACTCAGTCTAATTTCATTTCTATGACAACTCTGTTTTTCAATCAGAAATGAGTGAACAATTTTCACATGTTCCTTGAACCAGAGTTATTAACTCTAAGCTCTGAACACCACACAAATAAAGCATTTTTATGTGTAGTTATTGGGTGACAGAAGATTAAAGGTTGTTATGTTTTTGCTTCTACTGATTAAAATATTTATTTCAGAAATAATCATGCTTATTTGATCTATCCACTCCATTTTCCTTTGGAGTTCTTGAAAACGTTCTAAAAACTTATTGCAGAGCAGATAGTCACCTTAATTAGAAATGCAAAATCTAAGGTCCATACACAAGGTTGTTACCAACTTGCAATTTTTAATGTAAGAGAAGGGAAAATAAGCACATGATTTGACAGTATCAAACAGTTTGACAATATGTATTA